TGCTGAAAATGAAACCAATGCACGAGTGGCTCCAGTCAGTTTCCATAGACCTCCATGTTAAAATTCTCAGCTTCACAGCAAAAAAAACAAAAAAAAAACAAACGTGTTTACCGCCGGGTACAAAAAGGGTTTTGGTCTCTGTGGCTAATTTCAACATTCATGACAATTGTACAGGGGGTGCATTTTTTCATGACTTACCCGTTTTAATTTTATTAAGGCTTAAAGTTACGTATAATTAAGAGTGGGCCTTGAATGACAGGTTGTCTGTGAGTCATCCTCTTGTCCAAATATGGTCACTTCTGGCTCTAATATCCCAAGATGGTGATTGGCCAAAGTGGTGAACCCAAGGCTTCAAAATGGTAGTCCTCGAACCAATGGGTGATGACGCAGCCAACACATTCTCATTCCGACCTTGTCACATATTGACGTTTGGTCATGGATCTTTCACATCCACATACAATGTGGAAGGTACCCTGGGTGTGTTGGTTGTTGACGTTCTGGGACACCGTGTCAAGTTCTGCCTGTTACATGCATTGTCTTCTTTCAAAATACACTTCCATTTTCACAAGAAATTTACTGTTTACATACAGTCTCTTTAAAAATAAATGCACTACGTCAGTACACCAACCATTGTAAACTGACGTTTCTTTTCCTCCATAAACAAACGCATGTGGTTGGGGTTAGGCAACAAAGGTTAGGTTTAGGAAAAAATAACAGGGTTTGGCTTTAGAGTCTTACAGGACACAAACACCACTCTCCCGGGTGAAAGTTGGTGTTTGTTGGACCAGTCCACCCCTCCCTCCCGTCGTACTCAGATTTTTTCCGCCGTAACTTTTGTTCTCATCCCGCCACATTTCCCCCTGATGCCACCGAGCACCATTAAACTACAACAGCGACCAGGCACGTTTAATGCAGATGTTAAAGGACGGCTTTTTTTGTCAGTGTCTGATGCCGCAAGTCACTGCCTAAAAGCCGGATTTCGATGACCTCTGAGTGAGACCGGGTTGACACAGCAGCTATGTCCATTTTTTTATACAGTGTATGCTCACACCTGTACTTCTTAATTAGTGCCAATTAACAAATGTTAGCATGCTAAGGAACTAATCTAAGAAGCTGAACATGGTATACATACCTGCTAAACATCAGCACGATAGTCATAAGTGTTATATCGTAGGCAACTGGACTTGCTTGCGTTTCTTGAAGACATTTCACCTCTCATCCAAGAAACTTCTTCAGTTCTAAATGACTGGTACGAAGTTGCAGGCTATGAAGCTTCTTGGATGAGGTGAAACGTCTTCAAGAAACGCAAGCAAGTCCAGTTGCCTACGATATAGCACTTACGATTACCATGACCTGGATGACTGAAAATCTTCATTGACATCAGCACTATAGCATTTAGAGCATTTAGGTCAAAGCTCTGCTGTATCAGTGTTATAAAAGAATCAATTCCCAACTCTTATGGCATTTATTTCTACTGCATTACAAAATGACATGTTGTGCTTGTCTAATCTCTGACATTCACCAGGCTCCAATCAGTTCGTCTTCCTTGGCTCTATCCATTGCCTCAATCTCTAAGTCAAAGAAATAACAACAAGGTTGCAATCAAAAAAGTCTCAAACATAGTGTCGTTGTGCTGTCATTTTCACTAAGAAAATAACAAGGACCAAATCAGTGAGACACACCGGCTGCATCCCCAAGCATCATACCATTTAACATGTGTCACTGATGCCCATAACACACATTACATGCGTCATGCAGACAGAGGAAAAAGGAAGATATAAGGGTACAGTGTTGTGTTATTCCAGGGAGCAAGTGTGAAAAACTTGCTGCCTCTCCAGAGAGTTGACAGCATCAACCCTAGAAAATATGACAATGGCATATCCCAACAGGCTGATGTGCGCCAGCCTCCATTGTGTGTTGACCTTTGAAATTTTAGCTTGAAACTGTCATTTAATCAATACAAGAAGAGCCAGGAGGGAACAGGGTGTGATACTTCATCACTTACTAGCACATGTAGTAACCTTAAACAGTGTGAAGTCTGCCGGTGTATAGATTCAAGTCTCACTTTATGTCACGCTCTGAAAATGTCTCAATGGGCAGGAAGTGTCTTCTACAAGTAAAAGACAGTCCAATATATTAATGGACAAAAGGTCACGGGGTCAAAGCAATCACTTTCTTCCAACAATGGCCCCCACAGGCTCCGTCTGCAGTCCTGCTGAATGAGACTTGCCCAGTCTTGTTTTAAAAACAACGCTCTTTCTTTGTCTGTGTATTGATTGGAAAAAAGTTAAGCCAGTGAAAACTCAAAGCTTTTTGACAATAGTGTTCGTGTCAGGACGAAGTTAATGGAAAAAAGACATTAGCTTACTTGGTCTGCTTTCATGTTTGAAGACCAACGTCTGTGAATCAATATCTGTCCTTAGTAAATGTTCCCTGTATGTGCGCCGACCCATCCTGACCAAGCAAATCAAATCTCCAGCCATCATACCATTACAAAAGAGTGGTCTGATGTCTGAGGAAACCACGGCCACCACGGCCCTCAGGCAGGACAACTTAGGATATTACTTGCTATACTTGGAGAGTGAAAACGCAGAAGGGGGCGAAAGGACGCAGAGGGAGAGGAAGGGCTCTGGTGGAAACACAAGCACAGAGCCAAGTTGGAGCAGTTTTTGCAAACCTTAAAAAAAAAAAAAAGTGGAAATCAGGGCTACAGACAATATTGCGATAAACACATCGCACTGAGTCAGCTGAGGAAGTGTTAGTTAAAAAAGCAATTTAAAATGTAACTATCATTCGTTTTTATTGGCGCCTTTTGTGTTCTGTTCAGTAATCATTTGTTCAACAAGAGAATTTTGGATATAAGCTTTTTAAGTTTTGTAATTCAGCAAACAGTTTATTGTATTTTAGCGGTAAACTGACAGAAAAAAAGTACACTTTCTGTTTATCTATCATAAGTAATACTGTGAATGCAATATTTGACAGCCGTATGGCATATTGCATATTTTCCTCGTATCGTGGAGCCATACTGGAAATCAAGACAGACAGGATAAATGAATTGTTCATGGGACAGGTTTCACTAATGGCCAATCACATCAGCCCCTCTCATCCACTTTTAAAGCAGAAAACAATTTTCAAATGGCCCGGGAGGAGAGTCAAGGTGAACTCGTCTGAGGAGAAACCTGTCAGTGAGGCAAGTGTCGAGGCACAAATACACATATTAAAAATATGACTACCCTGAATACACCACCTGAACTAACGGAAAGCCAGAGGGCATGTGTTTAACAGTTTCTATTTTGTTTTCACAGAGGGCTTCAAGTAACTCTTTTCACCCAGGTTTCATTAATCGGCTGATTGTTGCCTTCATTAGTTGTTTCTCACAGCCCCAGGTGATGTGTTCAGATTGCTTGTTTTATTTGACCATCAGTCCAAATGTTAAGACCAGTAAACACTTGACATCTTTGGCTTGAAAATAAATTATTATCAGAAAAGTTGCAATTAAATTTCTGCCAATCAGTTTATTGATTAATTGAGTATCTGATGCAGCTCTGTGATCACAGAATAATAATTCTATGATCTTGATGCAATAGGATTTTCCTTATTACAGCAACCACCACATGCACACAATTAGTCTCATATATAGGGATACAACATTGATTTATGTCTAATGTGGCCTCTATAGGCTACTGTAAACTAACAGTTGATGACTGCAGGGCCACTCTCAGCCCCTAAAGGCATATTACAGAGACTCTGGTTGCAGCTGCATTAGGCTGTGCAGATGTCAAATGAAGGCAGCAAAATAACTGTCAGAGGTTATAATGTCTTATTCTAGATGATTACCCAGCACAATCCGGTAGGTCTTTACGCAGAGATAACAACATTCAGGGGTTACAGAAAGGAAATGAAGTTTGTTGAAATTACAAATTATTCGGTCCAATTTCAAATGAAAACAGCGCCTGTTTTGTTATCATCACACAATAATCATTTAGCAATCACATGAGATTCAAACTAAATCATCACGCAGCCAGCTTTCAGCTGCACTCCACATCACACAACCCGCATCTTTGTGGAGCCACAAAAATACCCAATGTGGTACAGCAATATTAACAAGCATCTGCAACCGCGTATTTATGGCGTTGCAGGAAAATGAAAACCTGCTGGCGAGAGAGAAAGACAGAGCAGGCAAAAAGAGGAGATATTCATCTTACTCCAGACTTTTCATAATTTAATTTCAAGTGATCATATGCCGCTCATTCACCATGAGTAAACAGGCTGTGACAAGCAATACAGTATCCATGCTGTGTCTGTCTTATCACCTCATCTGATGTCTCAAACGGCTGCAACTACGCATCAGCAAGCAAAATGATCAAATCAAGTTATGTTTATTTGCCACATTCACAATCAGAGGCTTGGTCCAACTAACAAGCAGGGGAAAAAGTATGTATAATAGATTATTTAAAAGAAACAATGAGACAGTAAATGAGAAACTCAACAATGAGACAGGATAACCAGTGGGTCTGCATACTGCAGGCTATATTATACACACTGTATGACATTATGAATCGTATGTAATGAGTTATGAATCACCTGATGAGGGCAAGCATATAATGAATAAAGATCACAGTGAACTTGGTGTGCTGTTTATTTAGAGTACGCCTGTTGACCTGTTGATAGCAGAAAGAAGAAACGGATTATTTTATCAAAGTTCTCTAGTTCCTCCATCGCTATGACACGATCGCGCTCACGTAACCAAAGAGCGCGCGCGCACACACACACACACACACACACACCACACACACGAAGCACCTCCAAAAGTTGAAGCTGCGCTCTCCTCCAGAATAAAACAATGTTTGGACCGCAGGGAAAAGAAAAATAAGAGTCAACTTCTCATATGAGTTACATCAGAAAGTTGGAGCAGACCTACACCCTGCTCCTTCTAGAGAATAGAAACATAGGATAGAGTAAAGATGACTAGAGCAAACATCACTAAAACCAGTTTTTACCTATGCGTCCAGACCTCCTCGTGCGCCCCTGGCTCCCCCAGTCCGCCCGCTGCTCATCTCCCGGCCCGGCCCATCACCGCAGGTACAGTCCAGAGAGCACAGCCAGCGCGCATCACCGTGTCCAGAGGTAGAGACAAATAAAACAAGGGCGCTGAGGATGCAAATAAAGGAATAAAAAAAAGAGTGGACTTTTAACCTTTCTCTTGTCCGGTTAGGTTTCTGTCCAGGCTCACTTTACTTTCTCTGTGTCTATAAATCACTTTTCTAGATGGAATCGCGCCCTTGTTGCGTCGGACTGAAGTGCGTCGGACTGAACGAGGCTGGATGATCCGCTGTTGGCGCTCACAGCTCCCGATTTCTGTCAAACCTCTCAGACTATACAAGATGACTTCCGGTGGAAAGTTTCACAATACAACCACAACGAGTGTGTGCGTGTGCTTGCGTCATGACATGCCTCACTTTTGATCTCATCGGTCTGACCTGCCATATAAAGAATACCAAGGCAATAAAATAAGGCAGGGGTTAATTTGTTCAGTCATCATCATCATCATCATCATCATCAACATGTTCACTCTAAAGGAGTCACGCTTTTACTTTCTATTTACCCTTCATGCTGCTGCAACTCTTAAAATCATCACAAATTACTTGATTTTATGATTTATAGTTTTACAACTCTATGATTTCATGAATCTGTTAATCCATGTTTTAAACTGTTTTAAATGTCCTGTTATATTGAATTGCCTTGTCTGTTTTATGTGAAGCACTCAGTACTTATACGACCCTTATTGTAAAGAACTTTGTGCTGCATTTCTTGTATGAGAGGTGATATAAATAAAGTTTGTTATTATTATTTCTATTAAAATTTAAGCTGGGCAGCATGGTGGTGTGGTGGTTAGCACTGTCGCCTCACAGCAAGAGGGTTGCCGATTCAATCCCGAGTGCGGAAGCCCTTCTGTGCGGAGTTTGCATGCTCTCCCCATGTCAGCGTGGGCTCCCTCCGGGCACCCCAGCTTCCTCCCACAGTCCAAAAACATGCAGATTGGGGATTAGGTTAATTGATAACTCTAAATTGTCCGTAGGTGTGAATGTGAAAGCTTTTATTGCTCCCTGGTGATAAATGGCCTGAAATAACCAGAAAAAGTAGCGTATAGGTAGGTGATTATTTTTGTGATTGAGGCTCATATAATTTAAAGTAAAACTGACTTCACTTTGAATGTAGCATTAGAGAGAGATATTGTGTTATGTAAGTAAAAATTATCATTCAATCAGATGATTCAGATAGAGTGCTTTCATACATATGATGAGAATATGTCATAACTGTAAAAAATGTGAAATATGATTGAGGCCTAGCCTCAAAGTAATGCAATAATGCACATAAACTGATCTGCAGAGGGCCATAATGTGTATTGTCATTTCATTTTAAAAGCTACCATCTGTTTGTTTAGTTGATTTAAAAAACACCAAAAATGGAGGCACAATACAATCTTTGTTATAGTTAATATTTTTAGCCTAATGAATGAGGAAAATAGTAATAAGATATAAAGCAATCCTGATGTTTGAGAACAAACCAGGAAGAGAGCAAACAAATGCAGAACAGATTAGTTCAGAGCACAGCGATGTACAAATCCCTCACAAGCACCTTTGACTTTGTGAGCTGATGTTTGCTGTTGAGTCTCGGAGAGATGAGGCAGAGGTTAATTTGTTCAAATCATCATCAGTTCACTCTAAAGAGGTCAGGTTTCCCTTCTATACTGTGAATGTTGCAGCATGGTTGGATGCAGGTTAGATGTCAGATGCAGCTCATCTGTGAAACTGGTCTTGAGAGTTGTTGTCTCGACCATCTGTATCATTCTTAGCCCTTAAACAGTCTCGGAGGACTAAAACACCCAGTTGTCTTCATCACTGTGTTGATTAGTCTTTTGTGTCATCTTGCTTTAATGCCTTTATTTTGAAATACCACTCTTCTGACTTCCAGTGAGATTATCCCTAAATGCAGTCAGCATTATCCAGGTCTGTTCTGTCCCAACCAGTCACTGAATAATTTTCCTCACTGACTAATGGAAAACAGTGCTGGCGTCCTATGAGTCCAAAGGAATTTTATAGGAAGTGATAAGTGAAGGCTTTTATTTTGGATCATTCTTGGCGTTATGAAGAAACAGACTGCTCCGTGATGAGTAAGGACACCATAGTGTCTGTGTAGAAAAGGATGCAGAGGAGAGATGAAGAGCAGGAGGAACTGAAGGTTACTCTCAGCCAGGTGTTGGCTGCAGTCAGAAAAAGGTAGGCAGAATAATTGTCTAAAAAAAATTCCATAAGTCCATAAGTAAATATAGTATTTTTGGTTTCATTTCCAAAACAATTTCCCCAGTACTGCAGTGTGAGGTCATATATTTTGCTGTGTGCTGGAGAGACTGCTGAAGTATGACAGCAGGTAGCTGCCTAAGTTCTTTATGTTTTGATCAGTCTGCTGTCCCTGCCTCCAGCGTCTTCTCTCTCCCCCAGGCCCAGGAACTTATGAGAAACTTTCCAGACCTGTGCTTTTCCACCTGTACACAAGGTGACCTTCCACCAGTCCTGGTCACCTGACTCTCAGATCCACCTGCCTGTCTGTTCACATTCCCAAATCATCCTCACCTGTTGACAGTCCTGTCTCACATTATCTCATTAGTTGTTCACCGTCTCACCAGGTTATTAGTCTGTCATGTTGTCAATGACTACACTTACATGCACAAAATGTTGCATTTTTTGCCAACATATTCTCATTATCGACATTTAGTCATGGACTTTCCACGTCCAGATGTGATGTGCAAGGTCCCTGGTTGTGTTGGTTGTTGACGTTCTGGGACAACGTGTCGAGTTCTGTTACATGCATTGTCTTCTTTCAAAATACTCATATGTTTTCACAGGAAATTTAACTTTATATACAGTTTCTTTCAAAAATAAAGACATGTTTTTTTTCCTCTGACAACTAATGCACGTGGTTGGGTTCAGGCAACAAAAACACATGGTTAGGTTTAGGAAAAAAGAACAAGGTTTGGCTTTAGATTCTTACAGGACACAAACACCGCCCTCCCAGGTGTGGGACAGTGTTTGTGGGACCCATCCACCACTGCTTCCACCTGCCCCACTTGGACTTGGGCCGTCTAAACTTTCAATCTTGTCCCACCGCCTTTCCCCAACATTGCTTAACACCATTAAACTATAATTGCAACCAGAGGCATATCATGCCGACATTAAAGGACTTTTTTGATCAGCCTCGGATGCCATAAGTCACTGCCCAAGGGTCACATTTCGACGACTTCAGAGTGAGACCAGCTTATTTTTTTCCCTTATTCTGAAAAAGACAATATTCCTACTAGGCCGTTTACACTAATGAAAATTAATATATCACTCATATTCCCGTAGTTGTTTTAACATCGTTTATCACATCAAAATGTAAAAAAGTGGAACAGCTAAAGCCACTTGTGCCATTTTGCTTCTTTGCATCTAAATAGTATTTTTCCACTGGTGGCGGACTTGATCGATGGTGAGAACACAGCCTTCATCTTTCAACCCTTCAACTGTACACAGGCAAGAGGTGTGTGTCACAAACTGCCATAAAAACCCCAACTGAGACGTACATTATGAATGTGCTGTATACACATCTGAAAAATGCTCCTAAGAGCGGACAAATACCAGCATCAAAAATCAAACGTACAATCAGCCATTGGTCAGTGTTGGGCTGTCGTTGATTGTCTGTCACCCAAGTCGGTGCAGTGTGTATCGGCCCTCATTGGCTTTCTTTTTGTTGGCCCTTTTTTTTTGTTGGACCATTGAATCAGAAAAGGCAATGATGGTAGCAGAGACTGTTGGTGAATGAAATCACTCTTGTTGGCAGTTTAGCTCAGGGCATGAGAAGAGAAACAGAAGTGAGGAAAGTAAACAAACAGCTAAAGTCAAGAGGGAGTGAGACCAAAATAAACTTGTTATATAAGGTATGATTATTTTTATTTAGCCATTGAGCTTTTAAGCAGAAACATTTTGGGATGGTTTGTGTTATTGTTCACTGGTGCACAGTAAATATGCTCTGTTCTTTCAACATTCTGCTGTTAATGTGCTAACTGGCTAACTAGTGTAAAGACAGTCTTCCAGCTTCCCTTTTTAGTGATGAATACAGACTACCATCGTCTGCTACTATGGAGGGTTATTTCCTCTCACGCAGGCACAGAACATATATGCTGGTTGCCCGTCGGCTGTAGTGTTTGCAGTGTGTTCATCAGCAATGTTTTGGCTGAGACACTGCAATGTCAAGTGACGCAGCAGGGGGCCTTTGTTGCAGCTATTTCTCTGAAATCAGTTTGCTGTGTCTGGGCCTTTAACCAGAAAATGCTACATTGAAAATTAGGTTTTATCCAGAATTTCTAAATGGAGTATGTTGTTTATATGACCCACATCAAATTCAGAACATTAAATAAATGAGAATGACAGTGAAATACTGGTGTGCATGTACGTCTAGTCACGGCTGTGCACTATTCCTGTTTTCCCTGTTCCTGATTTTCTGCCTGATATCTGCTTCCCATGTTTAGACCGCTGGCTGCCCTACTCCTCTGGTTTTGTTTGCTTGTTTGGACTGTTTTCTCGTGCTTGACTTTTAATTTGAACACTGGTTTAGTAAGGACCTTTTTCTTCTACCTGTTCTGCCTCATTGTACTCATTTGGGTCCTCAGTCTTATTGCCTTGTACACATCTGTGACACACATGCAGATAAAGCAATGAGACTTGTGAGGAAAATGGGAGTGAAGACCTTGTTAGTTTGTTATCTATTCTTTGTCTACAGTCCCATGACTTTCAGCTCTGTAAACTGGCTGCACATCTTAGTATCATAAGATGCTCAGCCAATGGAAAAAGTAAAATAAGGTCATTATATATGGAGGTTAAAGAATGCCAAGATTAAACTGAAATCACTCAGTCAAGCAGAAGATGAACCTGACATTTTTGTGCAAAAAAAACAAAAAACAAACCTACAATAAAACTACAGACAAAATTTAATTAATTAAAATTTTAATCTTAGTGCCCTGATATTAACCCTGTAATCAGTGTACCTTGCATTTATCTGCACATAT